GATCTGTCCTGGAGGAAGTGCAGCCAGAATGCTCCTTGGAAGCAAGAATGTCCAGACTTCGTCTCACCTATTTTGGTCATGTTGTAAGAAGGGACCATTCCCTGGAGAAGGATGTCATGCTTGGTAGGGTGGAGGGTCGATGAAAGAGGGGGAGGCCTTCAACGAGATGGATTGATGCGGTGGCTGCGTTGATGGGATCAAGTATAGCAGGGATTGTGGGGCTGGCGCGGGATCAGGCAGTGTTTCGTTCTGCTGTGCGTGGGGTCGCTATGAGTTGGAAACGACTCGACGGCACTTAACAACAACAACAACAACAATACAGACTATCTTACGCTCCCCTCTTCCCTTACTTAGGCCAGAGATGGTCTCATTTCCCAATCCTAATCCTACCTTTCAAATTCTTTCCAGGTTTAAGTGTGAGGAACTTTTGGAGCCTATGGGAGCATGATCTCTCTGGGTAACTAGCTCTCTAAGGATGGTTGGATGCCTGCACACTAGGTGATACTGTCAGGTCTAGCACCCAGAGATTTCAATACTGGCCCAGTAACCAATATATGAATGAATGTCACACTGAAGTCCAGCTGTCTAAGTTCATATATGGAGAAATTGAGGTTCCAGATGTCAATTAAAAATCTGCTAAAATTATGCAAGTCTAAAGTAAAAATGCATAGAATCGGTGATAATGTATTAGAGACATCTATTCAGATAATCCAAGATAACATTGGGTTTTGATTTCTAGAAACTATAGGTAATTAATTTGGGGAATTTATTAAGCTCCTAAGGCAACATTCATTTGTACTCATATTATAAAGTAATTATTGTATATCTCATAGTAATCACCAGACATCAGTGGAACTTAGGCATGTGACCTATCCTCATGGCTGGGTGTCTGGGAATCTTACTCATTGAATGCTATTCTATAATCAGTCTCTTTCTGTATTTCAGGCTTGGCTTCCCACTGATGGTGGTCTCCTGCACGGTTGGGATGTGCTATCTCCTTGTTGCTCATGTTGTGGTGGGCTGGAATTAAACTTGACTCACCAGCAGCATCAGGCTGTGTCTCAATGGCCCCAAGACCTTTCTTTGGAGGAGAATGTGTGCTTACTATGAAGCTGATGTATGGTGGAGACACCCTTCAATAGGCAGCTGGCACACATTGCTCCTATTTTGATGCATGCTGACATTCCATGGCCTCCTCAAATGTCTTTCCTCTCCAATGATATAACACAGGAAATATAAATACTTGAGATCCCACTATAGAAAATTGTTTGTTATTTCAAGACACTTCTTGATATGCTATGTAGGAAAATACTCAAATGTAATAATCTATCCCAAATGGCTTATGCTTCTTCTGAGGATTTACATAGTTTTTCTCTATGTAATCACTTTTCATGTTAGAATAATCAGCATTCAAATTATGTATCCTCTTGATATATATCGGGAGCTCTGGTAGCATAGTGGCTAAAACACTTGCCTGCTAACCAGCTGGCTGGCGGTTCAAACCCACCAACCACTCCTCGGAAGGAAGGTTGGGCAATCCTACTTCCATAGTGATACTGCCTTGGAAACCCAAGGAGGGGTTGCTATGAGTCTGGTTTGACTCTATGGCACATAACAACAACAACAACAACTTGATATATATATTCTTCTGGGAAAAGACAAAGAGGTTTCCTTGAAAGACTTTATAGAATTGATTAATTTTTTTTTCCAGTAACTTCCGCTTTGTAAAATTGCATTTATATTTTTCTTTGGAGTAGTTCAGTTATTAATTAAAAGTCCAGAAATTTAACTTGTGAAAGATAACATATTATGTAATATAATTGTCTCTTGAGTAATATTTTATATATTCAATGACCTGAAATAATAACTTTTTTTTTTTTTAATTTTAAAGTGGTGTCTGCATTTTCCCATTGATAACCCAAAAAATGTGGTCAGTACATCAACTCTGCTCTCCCCACAGGACTGTGGCTCAGTCAGTGTTTAATAAACACCTGTAAGCATCACCCATGCATCAGGCTAAGGCAGGCCTAAGCAGAGGGGAAAGTTGCTGCACTCTAGGGTTGCCAGAAAGGTATACAAGCTCTGTTGTGTTTATACACTATATTAAACCTAGAGGAAGAGCTTCATCTCAGGCTCTGTCTGCTCTGGGGAAGACCTTGAGAAGCAAATGTTTACTGGGGACTCTGTTCAGGAGTGACAGTTGTATAAAGGTTGGAAGATCCTCAGGGCACTGGACCCAGGAAACCAGAGACTTCTATTGTGCCATTTTTGTGACTGACACTACAGGGAAGGCATGCCTTTCCAAATTTTAGAACTGATATTGTAAAATGGTGTTTTGGTTACTTTGTGCTGCTGTAACAGAAAATATATCACAAATGGGTGGCTTGAACAAACAAGATTTTATTCTCTTACAATTCTGAAGGCTAGAAGTCTGAGTTCAAAGTGCCAGGCTCTAAGGGCTGTGTGAAAGTCCCTTGACCTTAGGCTTCAGGTCTGACTCTTGTTCCTGGCCCACTGAAGCTAGAAGCTTTCTACACCCAGACAGCTGCTTGCTGCTGAGGCTGACAAACCCAAGGTTGACAAGTGAAAAGGCACAGTTCCAATATTACCAAACCACATGGTGGGCCATTGTGTTAAGTCCATTAACAGTCCCAAGATCAGCAGACAACATGAGAAGCTGCTGAACAATAAATACAGGATTCAAGCATACAGACCATTCCTAAAACTTCTCTTTATGTACTGGGAGCAGACCACATCCCTAAGGCAGCTACTCAGTTGCTCACAGTAGATTCCACCATGGAGTTGATTACCAGTCTCATCATGGCAAATATTACACCCAGATACCCAGCCACTCAAAACCAGGCCCAGACAAGTGGACACATAATCTTAACTAGCACTAATGGCAATTTGGTTCCCCCCCCTCCCCCCAACACACACACACAGTGTTTGAGAAACTCTGTGAGAATAAACCCTTTGGATTCATAAGGCATCTTCAAATTCTTGAATAGCCAATGTGACAACCTATTTTTATTTCTGAATCTGGTCTTGGAGAAGACCACGTGAAACCCTTTATATGCAGCTGACTTAATATTCCAGAGCCTCCTCTCTAGCATTCAAGGAAGAAGGCTGTTTCCTCTGTTTCTGCTATGTTCCTCCTTTTCTTTGCCTTACTGAAGTTCAGGTGTTCCCTGAGCTCTGCCAATAAAAGACAGTTTTTTCTCTCCCAAATGACATGCTGTCACCTCCACCTCCCCTGTTACTCCATGAGCTCAATACCAGACAGGCAACTGGAATCTTGATTTTAAATGTCTCATTTCTCTGATACTTCCAAAACTTAGAATCATTTATTCTAGTGCACCATCAAATACAAACCTTTCCCCCACTAAACCTCCAAGCAATGGCTTGTCTTGTTTTTCTCACTCTTCAGGTCAGCTCCCTGCTAGCTTAGTTTTCTATTTCTTCTTTTAGACTCAGGCTCTGTCAACATATGGCAGTGCCTGGCCTTCCTGCCTGCACCCAAGCTCCTAGAGTGGCTGGAGCATATTACTGCACTAGGAGGGCAGGTCCCACTTTCAGATACAGATGACACATATGTGGGTGCATTCTGCATACCTGGCTCCTTTATTACTCTACCCAGTGCTGTGTTTGGGCCTGGATGCAAGCAGAGTGCTGATCACCCTGGGTCATGTAAAGGAAATTTATGTGGGGTATTTCAGCTCTTTGGGGCTAGTAAGGGATGCCATCTCTACCTCTAAACTTCTAAGACTGTGGGAGGGAGCAGTCACTAGACCTAGAGATGTGCAGATGTGTACACTGAAACTCAGGCTGGAGCCTGGCCTTCTGCTGAGTGTGTGGCCAGAATGAGGCACTTCCCAGGAAGGAACTGGGGACTCCTCTTAGGTTCACAATGACCTCCCTGGGATTTCCATCAGTTCTTCCCCATGGCTGAACCTAGCCAGTGGTAAGGGCAAGACACACTGGAGATGCTTTCCCTTAGGCCAGCCTCTTTGGACACATCAAGAAGTGATCTGGAGAATGCAACTGAGGAGAAAGTGGAAGGTAGTCCGTTTGGCCCATGAACACTTGCAATAATAGGGACACCAAAAGCCCCACTAGCTTTCCTGTTGTAGGCAGGTGACATGAGTTCACCTCTTGACAGTATTTCCAGAGTTAATTACAATCCAACAATTGTAGCTGGTGGAAAACCCAATATTCATTAAATTCTGCTTCTCGATGATAGAAGAGAACATGAAAGATGTTCTTGCCCATCATGGCCAGTTAGCTTTGTTGTAGTTGTTCCAACATCTCAGGGACTTCTGCTCCAAGAAGGGTTCTGTCCTCTTGTGCTTGCAGTAGTCATTGGAAGTGACCATTTTACAGGAACACTCCCCACAAGGCCATAGATGGAGGGTGAAGGAGACCTTGCAAAACAGCAGACACAGGTCTTGAGGGAACCTCCAGCTTCTTTCTTCTGCAATGCTCCCTCTGGACCTGCCTAGGCTCAACTTCATCCACACAGCCTATTTTATGAGAGAATGCCTCCATGCATGTCTAATGTCCATAGCCCGGGGGTAAAGTTTTTGATGCACAGCACAAGTTGCACAGTTACTCTATTTCCCATCATCAGTGTCTGGCAGGTGCAGTAGCAAACAAGGAGCTTCTTTTTAAATGAATAACAGTCATTAGAACAGGATGGCATGAACTTTTTCTGAATCCTAAGGGTCTGCACTGGAATTCTTCCATTGATATTTGCCAGAAACTCTGTTAATCATTTCTGTCTACCCCAGACACTTCAGATACTTTCAGATGTACAGTTTAATGAGACCCAGGGCAGGGGGAAGTGCACAGCAATCCTGACCTGTCTAAGAGCTTTTGCTTGCTTTAGTCCTTTCTCTCTCAAATCATGCAGCCTGTGAAGGCCATTGGTAAGGGGCCAGAGCAGCCTATGAAGGTGTTATTATTGCCCACAACATCAAAAGAGGACCACCAAGTTTTGTATCTTTTGGTATGTTTTCATGCACTGGCAAGATTAGTGTAACAGTTTGCCTTTAAGTTTGCAGTATATATCTTATTGTGAGCCAGACCACTCAAAAACCAAAAACTCACTGCTGTCTTGTCATTTCCAACTCATAGTGACCCCTTCTTGGGTTTCTGAGGTGGTATCTCTACAGAAGTAGATTTCCCAGTCTTCCTTCTGAGGAGTGGCTGGTGGGTTTGAACCACCAGCCTTCTGGTTAGCTGTCAGATGCCTTAGGCACTATGCCACAAGACCCAGATCACTTGGCCCATATAAAATACTGCCACATGATAGTCTTCTGAACTTCCACAGAGTTTATCTCCTAAACTTTGACAGGCATGTATCTCATTAACACATCTAACATGGTTGCTACTTCCTGCTAATAGTTTCTGGTTAGCTTAATACACCAATATAATGGACCAATGTAAGCTTCATGGCACATTAGTCAGTTACAGTTATAGTATCTCTTGCCTTCTATGACAAAAAGTAAGAGACTCACCCCTGAGCAAGATAGGAGAGGCTTGTTGGTGTCCATGAGAAGTAAATGCAATGAGAAATAATAATGATACCAAAAACGCTCAAAAACAATCAGCTCTGGTGGTGCAGTGCCTAACGCACTTGACTGCTAACTAGAAGGTTGTAGATTCAAACCCACCAGCAATGAAACCCATCAAGTAAATGTAATGAGAAATAATAATAATAACAATGAGAAAATAAGTATTTATTTTATTTTACTAGTTGCATATCAACTACTAAGAATGTTTATTTGCTTCATAAAAGATAACATCTGCAACAGCAGCTGAAGTTGGGATCAGGATCTGATAAATGTTGAGATAACCTACTCTCAATCTCTGTGACTCATTTACTTTTTGCACAGGTTAGAAAGTGATGGGAATCACTACCTTTCCATCTCTCAAGTCTTTTAAAATAATTGATTGGCATAATCTCTGAAATATCCATCGGGATGTTGTGTTTCTTATGTTTTACTATCTTGGTATGGGATAGGGCATCTT